TATCACATTGCCAGAGGCTTAATGCCAAGAAAATTTGCCCTTTGTTTCCCTTCCTCAGGAAGATGCTCTGGGGTGGAATTGGAGGCATTTGGGGAGATGTTAAAGTAAATCTTTAACTCTTCTCTGTTTCTTTTATTCCTCATTCTCTTCTTCTTCACTCTGTTTTGCCCCAAGGAGGCATTTTGGTGCCGATTCAGATTCCTTCCTCCACATGCATGTTAGTTGAACTATATTAGGGTGTTTAAATGTGTTTAGAGCTGGATTTGGGTCTTCAAAGCCTGACTGAAGCTCTCCAAAGCCATCACCAGCTCTTAGCTAACTCTGCCTATGGGGCATACCCAGCAGAAGAGGGCAGGTAGGGCATCTAATGGCACTGGTATCCCTTCACCATACCAGGGATGAGATAATGTCTGCAAGCTGGGAACGCATCTGAAAGGTACAGTTCTTAGGTTGTGTCCTTTCTGATGTGGGTTTGGGGTGATTTACTGGCTTTTGGGCACCAAGGGCTGGGTGACAGTGCTCTCTAGTGGATGGCTCTTCATCAAATGGGTCGAGATGAAGGAGATGGGGTTGGTGGAAAGGATCAGCATCATCCAGGGCTAAAACCGTCTCTTTCTCATTTGTATTTTAGACTTTAATGCATGTCTGTGGAGACATTACACGGGTTTGGAGTAATTTAGTGAAGAAATGAGTCAATTTAGTAAAGAAACCTGAATGAATGGGCTTTATCTCACTGTGATGAGATATTGATCAAGATCTTTCTGATGCCCATGGTCCTTCCACTACCGCCCTGTGGCCACAGCCACTCGACCCGTATCAGTTATCCTGGTGCAGGGGGTGCTCTTGTGTGCACAGCCATTGCTCTTCCCATCAAACACCAAGCTTGATGGGGTAAGGAGGAACAGGCCTGTGAAGCTTGGTGCGGAGCCAAGGAAAATGGAGTGGGATTTGGAAGGATGTGTAAACAGAGAGCTATTCCTGGAGCAGCCCATGCTCCAGGGCACGCAGAGGGCTGCTGTGAGCATCACGCATCACCAGCCTGCAGTGATGGGATCCTGCTGCAGGGAGAACATGGAGAGAACCTTTCAGCATCCCCTCCGCATATGCTCTTAGGATGCTTAAAACCAGGCTGTGCTGGAGCTGAGAAGTAGCCCAGGGTCTGCTGTCACAATGGCAATAGGAGATCTTCTTTAGGATCACTGGAGGAGCAAGTTGGACTTGTGATAGCAGGGAAAGTAAGTTAGCAATGGGGATGTCCAGGCTTTATAACATTAGAACTGCAAACCTGAGCAAGACTGGAAGGCTCTTGGCATGAGAAGAGCCCAGAGTAGCTAATTCCCACTGGGACTTTAGCTCTTAACAGCAAGGACTCAGGAACTGTTCATGTATTTATTGGTAAGCTTGCAATGGGCTTTAAAATGACATCTTTTTACATTTATACCTTTAAAAATCCTCTTTTCCCTGAATCTCTTTGAGAAGTGAAGTCTTTCCATGCTCTCCCTTTGTGAAGGCTGTGAAGAGCAGAGACTTTCAACTATGCTGTTTAAACCTCTATTTAGTGTGGCACTAAACTAAATCACAACAGGAAACACACACATTGGAGTGCGTAAGGGTGAGCATGAGCTGTGGTGGTCCCATGTAGGAATGCACAGCTCCAAGCTTTGGGAGGTCCCATCCTGATGTGGGCTCTGTCTGCATTGCTTTTGGACTTCATCCTTCACGTTGGGGTGAGTGTTGGGGTTCTGTCAAACAAAAGAGGAGGAGGAAAAAGGGAAGTATCCAAGCAGGCAGCATCACAAACCTGGTAACAGGAGCTTTTTGCATTCAGCTTGGGAAATAGGGTCATTTCCTTGCTCCTGGTGTAAGTAGAAGCCTTTTGCTCTGCCCCTTTTCCCTAGTTTGAATAAGGAGCAGCTACAGAACAGCATACACAGCACTTATGGGTATATTCTGATATGTTCCCAGCCTTTGGAGCAGCATCCTGGGGTCTCAGGACCACCAGCCCTTTTCCAGGCTCCCGGTGATGAAGGGAAAGGGCCCTGTTTGAATTATGGGATTTCTCCTATTTCACCCCAGGACACAGACCCAATTTCCTTTCGTTTTCTCCTGTTAAATCCTAACAAACATGACTTCCCATGTTCTGCTCTGGACCTCCCACAGAGCCCTTGATCTCAGTGATATCCCCTGGCTGGGGCTGGGGCTGGGGCTTCATCCCAGCTCTTCCCTTTTATCCACTGGGAGTTCAGTGTTTGAGCATCAGTGGGTGTCAAAGAGACAAAGAGCAGCCTCTCATCCTCTTCTCTGTTTTATTCATCCTTACTATTACAGTTTATATACACAGAATATAGGATGTTACAGAATTATATATAATATATATTATCTATAACACCTATATAATATAGTTGTATTACATACACCTCCATCACATCCCTCATTTAAGCTAAATAATCAGATTTTCCTGTCTCTGGTCCTCCTCTGAGGCTGGGGGAGTTTAAACCCTTTTGTCAACACTATTACTAACAGCATTTGCTGCATTTCTTTATGTTCCTTCCCTCCAATCCCAAACTATCCCAGTCTTTTGCCTGTCATTTAAAGCAGGAGTAGGGACATTGAAAAGGCTCTCGAGGACTTACCTTGGTAAGTAGTACAGGACAAGACTTTTATCTCAGCTTTTTCCTGGTGATTCATCAAATTCACTCATTTTCAGTAGTTTTCTCACCTGTAGATCTCTTACTGTAATTCTTCACTCTATGGGGTTGCCTCTTCCTTCTTCTCAACCTGTTCCTTTGTCCACCCCTAAGGAAGTGGCTCTACGGCCGTATTCTACTTTATTACCTGATGCATGAGCAACTCATGTCCTGATCTGTGCTTTAGAGCAATGAAACCACGAGGAAATCCCTTTCTTTTAGTGCTCTTTGATCTAAACATCACTGTTCTTGTTCAGGGGAACGTGTTCTGGCCTGAGTTAATACTGCATGCAAACAGCTTTCCCATCAGCATCCTGCCAAAGCAGTATCAGGAGTTGAGTGCATGATTGTATCCCCAATCCTATCATTATGCTGGTCAAAACCCCACACAGTGTTTCCAGATGGGGAAGAAAATCTGTCTCTTCCCCTATGGAATATCCTTATAAAATGACAGGATGAAACCAAGTGGGAGCATCTGATCCTGCACAAGAGCTCATAGGGATTTGGTGAGGGGTAAGCTCTTCCTCCAGAGCTTTGGAACCATTCTGCAGCAAACTTTATGGCAGAGCTGAAAGTTTTCACAGCTGTTTGCTAGCAGAAATCCCCCTCATTTCCATGGGGAGCTGTGGAACATCCACACAAACTGCTCCTATTAAAGCAGGGTTGGGATTGCTTTGTGTCCCAAGGGACAGACTGAGCGTAGGCTGCTGTGGAGCAGCAAATTCCACACCCCCCCTGCTCAATACAAGCACAGGGGCTCCTCCAGTGTGGTGATGCCAGAGATTTCCTCTGCCATGGATACAGAGTGCACAGCATCAGGGGGGAAAGGCTATTTATACAAGATAATCAATCCATTGCGGTAGGTACCAGCTAAATCCCTCTCAAGGGGAATGAATGGAGCCCTAGTGAGGAATTCTCTTTTAGTTGCTGGCAGAAGCTGTCTGCATGCCCCAAGGAAAAACCAAATGGGAAGCACTATTGAAAGCAGCTGCAAACAATACAAGAGCTGCCCTGAAGTTATCCCTATTCCCCTTTTGTTATCCTCATGGCTTTGCTAACTTAAAGCCCCACAAGCAGTTGCATGAAGGCAAGCGCGCAGCATCGCTCTGTGCTGGATGAAACAAGGATCAACCCCTAGATGCTTATTTTAGCCATACTATTACATGGTTCTCACTTCTTTGCAGGGAAACCGTGCCTTATTTGACAGCAATCCCACTATAACCAGCTTTGGTGCGCAAACGCTGCAAGACAAGAGTAATTTAGTTTGGATAGGTGGGAAGAGATTATTACTGAAGCATCACCCCGAGGGCTCCAAGCTTCTCTCCACCTCGCTTGTTCCAGCAGTGATGCAGTGGTACAGATGGGAGAGCAATAGCTGCCAAATGATGAGCACCACTTTATTTCTTGTAATAACAAATATACTATTTCACTGGTTTCTTCCCCCAACACCTCCAAAGTCCCAATTGAGAGAAGCACATCACATTAACAGCTATCTTCCTGCCCACATACAGGTTAAATGAGCCCTTCTAAAGGGATAAGTATAGATCCTGTTTAAATTACTGTGGAGGTGTGCGTTTGAGGTGTCAGCTAAGCCAGCAAACCACAAAGTGCCATGAATAGCACTGCCCCTGCTATTATATAGCCCCTGCTATATAGTGCCCCTGCTGTTCTATAGCCCATGCTGTAACATCAGTGCTCCAGGGCACAGGGGAGTTTAGTGAGAGTCCAGATTTATTGATCTACCCACTGGAACTTGGCGCTGGATCATTTAATGATGGGTTTTGCATTGCCATAAGAACTACAAAAACTTGTATTAAACAAAAGAGCACTATCAGTAGTTTAACTCCTTGTTGTGCTACCAAGGGGTGCTTGAGGATGGAGCCCTGGCTGTGTTCAAGGCTAGGTTGGATGGAGCCTTGGGTGACGTGGTCTAGTGTGAGGTACCCCTGCTTATGGAAGGGGGGTTGGAACTAGATGATCTTAAGGTTCTTTCCAACCCAAACCATCCTATGATTCAATGGATCCTGCACCCAAGTAAGGTATTTCTACTGGAGCTGTTTGGTCCTACACATCTGGAGCTATTTTCCTATGTTAAATAAGCTTTAAGACTAGAACTGATGTTGTTAAAGCGAGGGCCTGACTCTTCAGATGAAGGATGCTTAAGGTTCAAGGCCAGGTTGGAGAGAGCCTTGGGCAACCTGGTTTAGTGTGGCACTAGATGATCTGAAGGACCTTTCCAACCCAAACTATTCTATGATTCACCTTGTCACCATTGATTTAAACCAGCCTTTCCTTTCCTTCCCCCTGTTCCAGCTTGAAAGCTGTCCTGATGGGAAAGCCTCAGGACAACACGGTGGACTTGTCGGGCATCCCCCTGACCCTCAAGGACCTGGACCGCGTCACGTCCTACCTGCAGCACAGCTCGGAGCACATCGACACGGTGGAGCTGTGCTTCACGGAGCTGACGGATGAGATGCTGCTGCAGCTCCTGCCTGCCCTCTGCATCCTGCCCCACCTCACCACCCTCTCCCTCAACGGCAACCGCCTCACCAAAGGCATCCTAAGGGACCTCACCGAAGCCCTCAAGGACCCCAAGAAGTTCCCTAGCATCACCTGGATCGACCTGGGTAACAACGTGGACATCTTCTCCTTGCCTCAACCCTTCTTGGTGAGCCTAAAGAGACGGTGCCCCAAGCAAGGGAACTTACCGACCATCCTGGAGTTCGGAGAGGGGCAGGTCAGTGATTTGGAGAGCCAGGATGGCCTGGCTGACAGTCAGGAGGACCTGCAAGCTGGAGCAGACAAGACTGACCCCATAGGCTTGCAGCAGAGAGATAGAACAGTCGAGGTTGGGGAGCTCCCCGACTGGGAGCAAGGTGCTGCTACCCCACAGACATGATGTCTGGCTCTCTTGGGTGGGCACGGTGAGGAAGGATGGCTTACAACTGAGACCTTGGTGATGGAGCTTGATCCATTGAGCTTCAGGAGTCCAGCTTGCTGCCTTTCTCCTGTTCCGTGTGTGTCAACTTGTTTTTTCCTTTCAAAGAACACATAAAGGTGATCATGTTGAATACTTGTGTCTTAGGGAAGCTGGCCTCTTTAAACACGAGGGATGTGCTGTGCTTTTTAACCTCTCAAAAACGCATCTCCAAGGTGGTGGAAGATGAGGCTCGTAGAAGAAATAGAGGGGAAGAAGTGCCCAGCCTTAGCAGAGAAGGACTCCCTTTCCTTAGCACCCCATGTGTGACGGGCAGACAGCGGTCACCCCAAGGGGACTGCTGCTGGGATAAACCTTAAATCCCGACTTCAGGAATGGCTGAGGAAGGGTGTTATCTGCTGAGATACAACACAAGCCTGACCCCACGCTAACTGGGGGGTGTTTGTCTTAACATCGTGAGCCAAGCCCATAGGAAAAGCTTTGCTTTCCCAGTGGGGAGCTAAGCCCCATCCCACAGTGTGCCTGGACATCACTCACTGGGCTGCAAAACCCAGCTTCCCTCTGGCCATGCTGCTGTAGCAGCTCCAGAGCTTTCCACGTGGTACCTGGAGCAGTGCTGGGAGCATCCGATGGGTTCTGGGGAGGGATCGGCAGGATCTGGGGCCAGGGCTCAGCTCAGCTTCAATCCTGCCATCAAGAGAACCCAGTGCTGGGTTATAACGGCAAAGCAAGGCTGGGGTCAGCCCTGTGCCACAGAGGGTCGCTCAGCTGCGTCCTTTGCCCACTGGACCAGATGAGCTTTGTTTCTAGAACATAGTTCGGGGATTTCCCCCCCAAAAAGACGTGGTTTTGATGGGGTTTGAGATGGAAATGGCTCAGCCCCGAGCAGCAGCCGCCCTGGGATGGGCGCTTTGGCTTTTGAACCAGAATTCCATCCGATCCCAAACCTGGGGGAGGGCAGAAAAGGCTCAAACCCTTCCTCTCCCTTCTGCTCAAAGGCCCAGATGTGACTCCCTTGCCTAACAGGGAGCCCCTTTCTACCTGTTCAAAGCCCTTCTTGACCCCCTGTGTCCCTGGCTCGCAGCAGTGACTCTGGCTTTGCTTTGTCTGGGTGCTAACACGGACTTCTGGCCATCTCCTTGGCTCTGTTCATTCAGCATCCCTGCACCAGGAAGCTGTTTCCACACTGTCAGTGGTTGTAGGTATCTTAGAAGAGACTCTGCTACTCATTTTAATGCACTTGGCACCGTTCAGTATGATTTGCATGTATCCAAGCCTTTTTCCTTCTTTTTTTTAATGCTAACTCGTCCCAAACAGGCATGAGAAGAGCTCTGCAGTGAATAAACTGTTCTGTTTGAATAAAGGAGCTACCCATCACCTAAATAAATGACAGTGTTTAATAAAGACCCAGCACTGAGTTGTGCCTCTGTATAGGGTGACTTCCCAACTGACAGCCCAGAGCATCCCAGTTATGACCAGAGGATAAAGCAAGTGTTAAGTGATGCAGGGCTGGTTCTTCAGGGTCTCTGTAGGTGGCTGGGGAAACCAACAGCCCAGTTTATGGGCTTGATTCTGCAGGGGGGAGCACAAGGTGGATGCTGAAGCATCATTAAAGCAGTGGTTGAATGTTAAATGCCATCGGTGTGCAAAAAGGATGCGGGAGGAAGGAACAGTGGGAATGGCAGATTGCTCCACAGGGCGTTTGTGCTCAGTGCAATGAAGGAAAGGCAAGCAAGGACTCTCTATGTGGTCCTTGTTCCATCACCCAGACCATGGTAGGGGAAAGGACATAGGAGCAGGTTTGTCCTAACTCACAGGAGACCCCCTCCTGCAGCACTTAGGGACTATTTCCACCATTACCACAACTTTAGTAAGGTATAAATACCTTTATATATATTTATAAAGTATAAAAATATAGTAAAAATATAATTAAAAGTATAAAAATATATTTTCTAAAGTATATTTTATATATAAAGTGTATTTTTATGTGTGTATATTACCTATACATACCAGGGGGTACAGACGATGCAAGATGTGCTACACCAGGCTGACCAGGTCTCAGCTCCATCCACCCCATGCACACACATGTGCCAGCAGCACATCCCTCATGGGTTGTTAACTCAGCATGGGGGGGGGATTCATCAAGAACAAGATTTCTCCTTGCAGAAAGGAAGCTTCATTGGTTTATTCCATAAGAAGTCAGGCCCTGGTTTGCTCAGCACCTCAGTGCTCAACCCCTCTTCATGCACAGCTCAGGCCCCTCTGTCTAAGTCACATATTCCTTGCCACAGGCTCTGTATTTGCACAGGAAGCAGCCTCTCTGGGCCTCAGCATCATCTGGACCCTCAGTTTGACCATGCAAAGCCATAAACCAGAGGCCCTTTGCCCTTAGAACACTGCATCATTTAGTGATGCTCTGCACGCTCAGCTCCCTCACTGACACAAACCACCCAGGAGGCCGGTCCTGCTCTGCTCTTGCTGAGCTCCTACCTGCTGTGGAGAGCATCACTCAGGAGACACTTTGCACTTAGCAACTTCTTTCTACAAGGGGCTGCCAAAAAGCCAACCAAAAGCTCCCCTTTTGGCTGCAGAGGGCTTAATGCAAGGCTTTGTCCCCAGTGCTGCTGCTGTGAAACACTATGATCGCATCCCTCACCCAAAGGATGAACCTATGGAAGAAGACCCCACATCCCTCTTTGCACCACTGGTACAGACGGGTTGTGCCAGTATCTCTGTGCCCAGCCAGGGTTTAGCCCTTCTGAGAAAGGGAAATAACTAAAAAGGGCACTTTCTTTATCTCTATATTTGTCCATGTTGAAGCATTGCACCAAACTACTGACTTGCATAGGAAAAGAAGAAGGCAGCTCTAGTAGAGACAGTTACTGTGGGATAAAAACAGGAGGCTGGAGCTAATCAACCTCTTCCTCACAGTGTGCATTGGGTCCATTAGGCATTTATTACACTTCAGGATGATGATGATCCTGTGGGCTCAGTAAAGAGAGGGGGTTTCTAAGCAAGCAGCAGGAGCTGCTTCCTTTCCCAGCTCATCAGCATCAAAACAAGCTTGGAGCTCACGCCATATATAATCAATGTTCCCTGTGCTGCTGCTCCCGGTCAGAGGCTTCTAAACAGCCCTAGGAGAAGTATTTGAGTACTGAAAAATCACTGCTGTTAGGGTATTACAGTTACAGAGGTCATTCCTTGTCAAAGAGGGGAGGAAATGGCCACCACTGAGTCAAAACGGCCATAAAGCACCCACGCCTGGTTTGGTTTATCTGCACCAGCACCAGCTCTGCCTAAACAGAGAGAAACTGGTCTGTGGGAGAAAATTTACCCCTTCAGCAATGAAAATGTAACTGGGAATCATTGGGCACAGCTTGAAGAGCCCACACTGAGGGGATGCTGAATGGCAGGCGAGGAATGGGAGAGGCCTGAAAGGGTGGATGAGCTCCAGATGCTCATCCCAGCTGGGTTAGCTCAGGGTTGCACAAGCCCTGTTTGGGGTTTGAAGGTGGTTATTCATTTCAAATGGGGCTTATACTCTTGGAAGGAGGTGGTGGTGGTCACCTCCAAGCATGGACTGCACTGGAAAGCAAGGAAGCCACAGAGAGCATTGCTGGGGGCATCGGGAAGCTCAGGAATACGCTGGCCAAAAGCATGGCTTGCTGCTCACCAATCCCTTGGAGAGGAGCAAAGACTGCAAACACCTACCTCTACCTGTCCAAAACCTACCCAAACCCCTCCAAAACCCATACTCAAACCCCTTCAAAACCCATACCCAATCCTCTCCAAAACCCATACCCAAACCTCTTCAAACCCATACCCAGACCCCTTCAAAACCCATACCCAGACCCCTCCAAAACCTATACCCAAATCTCTCCAAACCCATACCCAAACCTCTCCAAAACCCTACTCAAACCTCCCCAAACCCCTCCAAAACCCACACCCAAACCTACCCAAACCCTTACCCAAACCTACCCAAACCCACACCCAAACCTCTCCAAACCCTTACCCAAACCCATACTCAAACCTGCCATAGAGGAAAGGCCAAAAAGTGACCAGGGACCACTTGTGTCCTCAGAAACACAACTACCCCCATGTTCCATGAACTGGGAGCGCATCACCAATAGCTGCCATTGCCAAGGAAACAGACTGCCCTTATCAGCAGTATTCATGTATGAACGCTGATGAGAAAGGGACAAAACAACCAGCCTTGCCTCCCCAGTGCAGTGCTCCTGGGTAAGCAACAGGTTTCATCTCTTCCTAAAGGAAACATTGCCCTGATCCCGTTCTGCCTTTGCTCCAGGGGCAGTGGAGCTTTTCACTGCCTGGGGGCCGTGCTCCACCACCAGATACACACAGCACGAGATGATCTTTCCAGCTCTATTAAGCATAGAATCATAGAATGGTTTGGGTTGGAAAGGACCTGAAGATCATCCCATTCCAACCCCCCTGCCATGGGCAGGGACACCTCACACTAAACCATCTCACCCAAGGCTCTGTCCAACCTGGCCTTGAACACTGCCAGGGATGGAGCATCCCTGGGTGGGTTTCAGACAAGAGGGCAGCGGCTCTCCTGCCTCCTGCTGCTGCTACAAGCAGGAATGGGGAGATGCAGAGCGTGGGGAGTGGGAAGAGGGTTTTGCAGGGACAGAAAAGGGTTTCTTACCCTTGTCATGGGAGATGGGTAGGGAGCAGCCTCCTGGGTGCAGGTACAACCCAACCCGTAAAGGCAGGAGCACTCCAAGCAGCCTGCAATAAAGCTGCATCAGCCTCATCCCATTAGTCCCAGTTTAGGAATGCTGAGCTGCCACGTCCCTGAGCAGAGCCACCAGCCCCACATACACCCCAGGGTCCCTCCTTCCAAAACCATGACCAGGCCACATACATCAGGCCATTCCCACCTAGGTCCTAACATCCAGGGAATGCTTTTAAAGGCTGGGAGCCAGGTCCTAACAAAACCCCTGTGTACTCTGCTTATTGTGAGGAAACCCAGTTCTTGAGGGAGCGCTCCAGCTGCAGCAGGTTAAATAGAGAGGAAAGCAGCGGGAGCTCAGGAAGATGTCTGCAGGATGCTGTTTTCCCAGGGAGAAAGTCTGCAGGGAGGGTTTGCAATAAGGGATATGAGACCAGAGAACACAGAGACCAAGGCAAATCTTACCCACAACATCTGGGATTAAAACCCATCCACATAAGAACCCAGTAGGAGGTTAGGCTGAACCTTCCCGCTGCTCCCATCCTACCTGGAGCCTGATGTTTTCCACCCCATATAGAATAAGAAGTCCTAGGTAGG